TTGCCCCATTTACAAAAGAACAATCTTCTGTTTAACCGGCTCTCATATACTAATTAAGCTCGAAACATATTGATTTTTTTTCCATTAGATTTGCCTTCTTTTTCTTCTTAGTTTTATAAATTTAGTTATAAACAATTAATAATTTGATGTCTACACTCTTATCGTTACACTCACATTAATCCAGATTATTAATGTAAACTGCGTTGTGTTTTTAAAAATGTGACATAATTGTTCTAAAGATAATGGGCTTCTGAAAAGAACATAATGGGCTTCATGAGACTATATGTTTTTTTTTTTTAAATAATAATAAGGGCCCATTAATCATATAAATTCAGTGACCGCAGCGAAAATAGAAACCTACCGGAGCTTCACCGGCCTGGAAGAGAGCGGGAACGTCTCCGATTTTTTCCCTCTTTCTTTTCCAATTTACTTCTTCATCTTCTTCTCCGATTATCGCTGATTCTTGTATCCTTCATAGGCGTTTACTGGTGATAATTTCTGTGTGTATTGTTCACCGATTTTGCTCTTCTACTTTATGGTGATTCTCTGCTCCGATTCATCTTCGTTCTTCTCCTGATCGTTGTTTACCTCTGTGGTTGTCTCAGAAATTCGTATTATCTCGTACGTCATTCGGCCGTGACCGGTCTGATCGGGCAGACCAAACCATGCACTTTGGGTTTTTCATTCCATTTCTGCTTAATTGTTTTCTCGATTGATACGTTCTTCACTTTTTGAAACGGTTTCTGCATTTAGGGGTTTTGTTTAATTATGTTTGTTATATGATTTAGGGATTTAATTTGGAAGGTCTGCGAATCCGCCTTGTTTAGCTGTAATCTTTCATTATCTACTGATAATCTGATATTAATCCATATCATTTGAGTTTTTTGTTTTTTGTTTTTTCTCTCTGTTCCTGTTGCTTGATTCATGATTTAGCGCTTGTGAAGTAGCAGTTGGTCTCTATGCAAACACATGAATGTAACATAGGCACATATAGAGAGGTTAATGTACATTGTATTATTTGTTTGCTTTATTCTTACAAAAGTATAGCAAAAACTGGGCTCAAGTCAAGCCGTGATCAAAACTGTTCTTCCTGCTAATTTCTAAGCTTAAACTCATTTCACCTGAAAGAGTTTGATAGTTTCTTGCATTGGTCTCCTTTCACAGGTTTCTTGACCAAAGTAGTGTCAACTTGTGCTTTATGATCTGATTAACAAAGCATGTCTGAGGTTGTGTCCGTTTCATCTGACGAGTAGAATTTAACCATTGATTCTGCTTGTTGCTTTGTTCAGGTGACTGGAATCAGCATTGGTAGAGCGAAGTTAAAGTTTCATTCATTAACAGAGTGAAAATTCCATCCTCGATCTGCACAGCCACCTCGTCGCACTCCTCTTTCATGCGTTTCTCATTCCAGTCCCTTCTTTCAATTTCTCTAGCACATGCTTGTCTTGTCTCATCACCTGATCCACTTTGAAGCTCTGATGCTCTCTGTCCCTGTAACCAGCCTTTTGCCTCGCCTACCAATTGGTCCTCAAAGTGTTCATCTCTGTAAGTTTTGTGGAACGAGTTTGTCCTTTGCATCAGTTCATCTCTGAAGTAGTCCATTATTAGATGTTCTTCGTGGATCCAAGTGGCATGTCTTTCTTTGACTCGGTTCCATAGCCGCACTGCCTTC